TAACGGTGGAGCGTATCTGCCACTCCCCCGCCGCCGCCGATGGTGGAAACAGAAGTGTGAGCGCTAACTAAACTAGCATCAGCAGCCAAGTACTGCCTGTGATTTCCGGGCACTTCCACCCCGTCAGAGCACTCCCCCCGGGGTGGAAGTGTCCCCCGACCTCACTGAATATTCTAATATTCATCATTAATTGGGCTCAAATATCCAGAGACCAGAAAGTGCTATTTGACCAGCCCTACTAGTTATTGTAACAACTATGAACAATGAATAATGACAAATGAGCCTTCAAGCATCAAGCCCTCCTTGTAAGGTTTTACATTTAGTGTCGGATTATCGAGTCGCGACTGTATTGACTAGCAACGAAGGAATAGTCAATATGTTTTATAGTTTTTAATTGTCTTTGTCAGATCAGAATACTCATTTCGTTCTAACCAAGTGACTCTTTACGCCCATAGTTTGTTTACAACTCGGCTCAATCGAGCCACCAGCCTCAGTGTCCCAGGAAATAACAGCCAAAACGCTGAAAGGCAGCACGAGGCCACCACTGCAGCCGAGCACTTCCATAGAATACAAGACGCACTGCATATCTGGTGGCGGTGCAGCTCTGTGGCCAGCGTAATGCTCTCAGCTTTGGCAACGTTAACAATATTCATGGGGGAAAATATCAGGCTGTTTAGCTGCTAAATCATCCACTATGTTTACCAGGTTACTAGTCACAGTGAACGTGAGCCGAGGGGAACTGCAGAGTCACAGGATCTCTTTGAGTTAATCACATTAGTCATTCACTCACTTTTAATTAATATTGATAAGCGCACCATTATTCATTTTCAATAACTGCTCAGATGAATTTCAGAGAAGTGAAATTAGCTTTAAAACTGTGTGTAATAAGTCAGTGAGATCTCTTTAAAGAGGAAAGTTGGGGGACTCCTCAGTCAGCTTTACTTTCTGACGGCCATTAGAGCGACATGTTAAGTCACCTGTGTTGTGGCTTCTGGGTTCCGGCGTGGTCGTCGGTGGGACTCAGGGGATTTGGACCTTGTGTTTTTTTTTGTAACTGCTGTTTTGTTTATGAGCAGGACCACAGAAGCAAACTGTGATTGACACCTTCTTAGGTGTTAATGAAAAGCCCAGAAACAACAGCCTCTGGTGGAAGTGTGCTGCCACTCACCGCGGGGCTGTCCGCAGCAGCTATACGGACGCCATATGGAAATCCTGCTCTCGCTGTAGAAAGACGCACAAACGCAAATCTGCTTGACAGTAATTTATCCTCCAGGGACATAAAATGCTCGTGAAGAGGTAGATGGAGCGAGTTTAGTCGACGTGGATTGTGGAGCTGATGATAACGGCTTCATAGCAGCTTGGTGGCTGTTCAGTCCAGTTCAACAGACTTTATGATTAATTCGTCATAGCTCTGCTGAAAATGAACCAATAACAGTAAAAAATAACCATGATTAATTATTAAACATGTAGTAGATAGCATGTTGTGTTTAAATACAGCTAAAGTAATTATTAGATGGGCTGGCCGAGGATGAATTATTGATCTAATCATTTATAATGCAAAAATTACACTGGGTTCAGCTCCTCCAATGTGATGATTCCTACTTAGATTTAGTAAACTTTGAGCTTCGGACTGTTGGTCAGACAGAACAAGTCAACTCTGGGAGCTTGCGACAGCCTTTTTCATGTCTTCTGTCATTTAATCAACTGAATACTTCATGGATTATTAGGGGGAAAAAATAAACGCAATCTTTTATTTTGTACATAAGACGTTGTTTTAATTATTTCTGCTAACCAAATCTGAAATGTCCAACATGCTCAGAAAGTACAGAAACAGTCTGGTGTACAGTGATTAATTCAATCCGCTGCTGTGTCCACATTCAAATCTGATGTTTGAAGTGCTTATTTTGGAAAATCTGCTTTCAAAAAAAAAAAAAAAATATGTTCAGAGCCTGTTTTTGTTTTACATGTTTAAAACCTCCTCAGGGATGGTTTGAGAGTCGCTGCCACAAACTCAATCTTTTCAATTAGAGCTAATGTGGCATCCTCACTGTCGTTTATTTATTTTTTAATATAAATGCACTTTACAAACAAATAAATAATACTTCTCATTGCAATTACTTTGCAATTGTTGCCTTTGCAGTGGAGATGGAGTGCAGTTCGTCAATTATCTGATTTTAATTAGGAATGAAGTGCGCTGAAGTGAAGAGGCCACTCAGTCACTGCAACAGGTGCCACAACTATTACTTGTGACTGTAATCTGTCGGTTAGATTCTTTTCTCTACCGACTCCCAGTGTCAAAACTCTTTCCCTCAAAAGCTCAGATTTACAAACTTTACAAAGCAGAGAAAAGCTGAGCGGTGTGAACGAATCCTGTGTGTGCCGTGGGTGCAGAGCAGAGTGGAAGTGGCGCTCAGCTCTGTGGCTGTGAATGATAATGTGACAGATAGCGATGCTCCTGTCACACCGGGATCAACTCAGCCAGGTCAGTGGAGCATTCAGGCCACTGGAGACTTCTGTGGCCCATTGATCCCCTCCCCTCCTCTCAGCCGTCCACGACGCTCCACACCCCCGCACCGATCCCGTCTCCGTGACCTGATCAACCTCCAGCTTCTGCACTCATGGCTCCTCACTCTGTCAGACAGCAGGCCGCAAATCGCCCCATCACTCTCTGACATAGCTCACAAAGTCGCTTTTTGTCCATGAAACTAGTTTGTTGGCTGCTTTTAAGACTTTCTGGGCAATTTCAAGTCAAGCCTCAAGTCTTATCAAAGCACGTCTCCACTCGAAGCCGAAGTCTATG